CACGTCAACCCATTAACAAAATTTCCTTGTTCGTCTGAAGGAACCAATACGACTCACGTACGCGTATATACAACGTAAGAATTTCAATTTCTACGGAATGCAAAAATAATCAACGTCACATTACGATATTCATTCTTTCGTGCGTAAAACTTACGACGGAATCGTTAGTTAGTACGGATTGAATAACAGTACACTTTTCCATACCTCGGAATTGTTTTCTAATTTCGACTCCTCGCTATCGTCGATGCACTTGATATAGATTGTCGCTCGATCGTATTTCAAGCTCTCCAGCCGCTCCTGCTCAACCCTCGCTAACATGCAGGCTGCGCACGAACCTTGAACAATAAAAAGAGTATTCAATATACTTGTCATACATAAAAATACCTCTTTCTTGTATATCCGTGATACAGAAATTTACATGCTAATTGGCCATAGTTATGCAGGAAGGATCATCCATGGAGTACGTTTCGAGAAAAGTGAAGATGAAAATTTGATACGTGATTTGACAAGAAATGTTTTCCTCCTAGATAGATAGAACCAGGAATGGGCCAATTAAAAAAGATTGCAAGAATAATTCCACAACAACGTTGTGATGTACCCCGCCAGCAAGAAAATACGATCGCCATCTTCATAACAATGCGGAAACTTAAGTTGACGCAGCTATTAACACCCTCAGATTTCGTTCGTCGGCTGTCCGACGGCGGGGCAGTTAGAAAGTCGAGTTGGAGGGTGCGGCGATGTCGGGGTGGTGGCTCTTATCCCATGTATAATAGATTGCTTACGGCCGGTGAGATTAATACAGTAATTAATAATATACGGTGACCAGGGCAGTGTAAGAAGCGGCCATTGTTGCTGGCCGGACAGCACAAAAAGCGCTTCGGCCGGTCGGAGCCAAAGCTCGTATCCGAGCGACTCTCCGAGCGTTACGTCATGTTCAGACAGTTTTCCAGCGGCCGAGGAAGGGCGACCCCGGCTGAATTCGTCCTGCCCCGCGTAGCGCTAATTACCGGCTCGTAGGAGCCAATAAGAGAACCGGCGTAAGAAGCTAACGAGTCGAAGAGATTTAGCGCGTAATTCGCCTTCTCACGGCGATCGAAGCGAACTAGAAGAATAAACGTTGATCGCGAGAGGTCACATGGAGCAAGGTGGATCGTCCGAGCGTTCGGCGAGCTAATTTCCCGTAGCGGTAACGAAGGACCCGCACGCCAAATGAATTCGAAGGTCCTCCCTTCGAATTCCTAATTACCCGCCTGCGCGATAGGATCGTTTGCTATCGAGTTTAATCGGAAATACGAGAAGCTTAAGCTAATGAGAGATTCGTAGGGTCGCGAATGCAAATCTCTTCCGACGTGCTACAAACAGACCGATATCCCGGGAATGCCACTTTTCAAGGCGACTCCGCCGGCTGAAAGATCAGCTCTGCCAAGTATCGATTGCATATGTTTCGCGATATTGTAACTGAATCATCCGTTCTGTTCTGTTTGTAATTATGTCAAAGCGGCATAATATTAGAAATATTAAAATATATTTCTCTGATCATTCGAGACGGTAAAAGTATTCTAGGCTTATTATTTTGCTCTTTAAATGCGAATATTTTAACTTATTCACACACTTAAAGAGCAAAACAATAAGAAGAGAGTTAGATACGTGTTCAGACATTAGTGTCTTATAGCTTGCGTATTAAGACAATTTCAACTTGGGTCGCACGATAAGACTTTTACGAATGTTCGGAAGAAGCAGCGTGGACCAATTTTATTGGCAAATAATGCACAATAGGTTCTAACGTAGATAAGACTAAAGGGCAACGCAGGAGCTCTAGTGTATTTCCCTAAAGTGCCATCGAAGGGCAATCAAACCATAAACGAGACAAAGTCTTGAAACTTGCGCGTTATCGACGAACGAGAAGTTTCGAAGAGTCGGATTCCCGTGGATTTCATTCGGATTGCTTAAACAGCACGTGCTAAAACCGCTTGGGACTCTGCAAAGTGGAAGTTTTAATAAATTCGACCTGCAAATAAGTTATTTATATATCCCGTCATAACATAGGATGTGATTACTATTTGTCTTGAATTTGTGATTAATCCGTTCAATTTTGCTGATTATAATATCAGCACATAACTTCGCAATCTATCAAGAAAAGGGACGAATTAAAATCAATAATAAGTAACGTAAGACATTATTACATGCTGCAACACACACAGACATTTTTTCTTCGACGAGTCGAACGAGATATCCCACCTTCTAATCTGCCTGATCATCGATCAAGGAAAGCAATTACCCGGTGATTGCAGACACGTCGAAATGAGTCTCGAATTGAGACAGGGTAACGCGTCCTCTTCAGCGAATGATTAGACGATGGATAGAAAGAAATCGAAGGTGGAGCGATAGCTTAATTCGAGGCAAGATATTGATACGAATCTCTTCGGGATTTTTGTACGATTAAATTAAGTAATTTATACGTTAGGTCAACCAACCGAGACTGAAACTAAGTCAAAGGAGAAGCTCTTCACACTGAATACAAATAAATTAAACCTAGCACGATCATTCGAAGTCAAGACGGAAGAAAGCACGAATTGCCGGGGAAAGCTCCTCGATCAAAATCGAAAGCACGTTAAGCGGAAAGACAGCAGTTTCGCTATTATATTAAAAGGGCTTTCATTCATAACTCCCGAGTCACCCCGTGAATGAAAGATTGATGTTCCCCCAACTGTCGTGACTCGACGGCGTCTACCCTTGCTCAAATATGTTTTGAATTCTTTGGAGTTTCCACGAGAGGGAAGAAGACTGTGCACCCTCACAAAGTAAATAATGACTTCTTATTTTGTCAACTGCATTACCAAATTAAATCCTTGCGTTGTAAAGAGAAGTAGTAATAATTTATCAGCTACATTCATTTACTTCTCTATAGAAATTATGTAATTCCCTCAGATATATTCCCTTTGATCGGTTCTTTCTCATATTTCGGCTCAATTCGCTCACCAACAACCACCATCGGCAGATAATTGGCAGGCAGAATTTCGAACGCGGCTCGACGTAGGCGTTTCCGTTGTCGCGGAGGAAGATCGCCGTGTCGTAATAATGATTTCGCTAACGAACGTCTTCGAGAGCCACAACAAAGTCGAAATCTAATCCTCTTACAACAGGATGACACCGCGTTGGTAGCAGCAGCGAGGGAGGCGCGTAATCTCGACGGCATTACGCGCGTCTCCTCCGCAAAATGCGATTGTCACTCTGCGACTCACGGAAATCGAGAGAGAGAGGGGGGGGGGTATACCTTTCGCAACGCGACGTCCGTCGTGAACGAATACTCGCGAATTCGTTAATTAAACGACGTAAGACGTTTGGCTTCTTCTTTTTTGCGATCGACGGATTCAAAACGACAATGATACAAAATATCAGTCACGAGCTTTCCGTTTTTACGATGTGTGCGATAGAACGATAATAATTAAAATATATATTCACGAATAAATATGAATGCCTTCCACGATGTAATTTCAGTTGGCTGAAAAAGAGGACGGGCTCGGTGATTTAAATCAAACGATATAGACGATTAGACACCTCTAGATTATCGAGGGTCTTCTTCTGACAGGATCGGAAGACGCGTCGTTGGAAGAGGGGATCCGAGAGAGCGAGCTTTATCCTTGTTTTATCTTGTTTTCCACCCGAACCTACCCTGCGTCCCCTACCTCCCGCCACGCCTCGCACACTCTACTACCGGAGGACGAGCATCGGTCATCTAGGCGCTCCATTTAATCCTGGAGGAAAAGGACCCCCCGTGGTCCACGGACAAGTGGGGATCTCCTTCGGGATAACAGAAGCGGAGAGAGAGCGCGCGCCCGAGCAGGATGCGCTAATTCGTCCCTGCTGAAATTTGTCCTGCCCTGACCGTGCTCGTTTCCTGCGCGATTACGCGAAAATGCTGTTTTTTCCGCACGCTAATGTTTTCACTAAGCCTCCTGCTTATCTGTATATTGGCCGTTACACGAAGGAAAGAAACGCACGCAATCGTCGAGCTAACCGTAAATGAATTTTCGATCTTCCCTCGGAGCAATTACTCGTATCATTTGAACGAGATCGATTAGCTGTAAAAAGCCGAATATCGCTTGACTGGTGATCAAAGTTTATAGCTGAATGTAGAATTATTTCTTCTTCTTTTTAGTGAACACTTAGACTGCCCGATTAGTTTCGAACGTAAAATCCACGCGGTCACAATGCGTGCAATTATATATGCAGAGTCAGATTATAAAACAAACTATGCGCCTAATCAAAGGATAATATCGTTTCATACTTATCTTCTATATTATCCAGTGTAAATACTCTTTGGTAATAACAACCAGACACAATGGATTGCTTTCCAAAATATCACGAAAAATATATATAAGTTTGACTATCTTATAATAAATATATACACAGTAAAAAAATGTTCGTGTTAAATTTAACACATGTCCCAAACGGTCCATAGAAATTTTTATGTTAATTTAACACAAGATGAATAATGTCAAGAAAAATAAATATATTGAAAAAAGATGAATATATTGTAAGACAAATATTATGTCGAGAAATAATAGAAAATTAATATCCATAATATGTTAATCGACATTGTACTATAAAACGTGTTATTTTAACACTTTACACATGTTGAATATCGATTCAACACAAAATATTGAGATGAGAACATAAACGCAACGTGTGTTAAATTAACACACGGACGCTTTATGCTAAAAAGTTTAACACAAAAATTTTAATAAAGACCGATTTTAATACAAGATGAAAATGTTTCTTTTTTTGTAATATTAATTTTGTTTTTTACATTAGTATATATTACACAAATGTGGTATTTTATTGTTTTCACATTGAAACGATTCAGCGATTGAAAGCGCTACTTATATACGTGACAGTCCAAGTGTTAAGATCGGCGTTACCAGGTGAAATAAACTCCCGGGCGAGACAGCAGCGTCTGTTGGTCTCGCGGCGAACACTCATAAGGGCATGTTCATTGGTCAACGGATGTATATATTAAGACGTGTCCGGCGCACTTGTCGCAGGGTGGGGACAGAGGGCTAACAAATGTCTCTCCTGACCCTTGGTAAGTTCAACCCCCTCAGGAAGCGAAATCTCGAATCTCTCCATCCCCGGCCGTGGAAGGACGCGGTCGCTGCAACGTAGGAACTAATCAGCAAATTCGTGTTCTAAATCTAAATCGCCGTCCGAATATTAATTCGAGGTCTCCGTCCGTCCCGCGCACACGGTTTTCTTGGTCTCGCTCACTCGTTGTTGGTTTTGCGATACAGCCAGTGCCGTACCTACACCACCGACGCGCCTGATTTGTGGCACCGCCTGGCGCCTAAGCGATATTTACGAGCGACGTTCGGGGAAACGAAACACAGCTAACTCCCTCTCGCCAGATTTCTACAACAATCAGGCTTCGATCTGGGCACGCCTGCCGGCAGATAATAGCGCGCGACTTAATTGTCGTTCCCAACCGGGGGCTACATGTTATTAATCGCTGTGAAAGGTAATTTTCGAGCAACACGGAATATATTACCGGTCGGTACATGACGTCGTTCTTTCAATCTTCGAGCGAATCGAGTAGCCCACTCCGTGATAACAGCTCGAGTTCGCGTTAAGTATACCGTTTCTTCCTTCCCTCCGTTTTCCAACGCGGAGGGTGGTATTCAATCGCGTCACCTCCGGTTCCGTCAACCGGCGAGCCTCTGCGAAACGGGAGTAGCCGGGTGATTGATACGAGGCTGGACGGATGTACCTTCGCGATCGAGGGAGACAGAGGAGCGCGAGAAAAGGGGATCCTTCGAGGCTTTAAGAGTAGCACACGATCGTCCGGCTCGTTAGTCAGGGCCGTATCAGTCACCGAAAGCAACCCCCTATTTTTTGCAATCCGTTCCTCAAATAAGCCAAATCGCCCGGTCTGTTTCGGGATATCGGGTGGTGTTTTAGGGAACAAGAATGCTATCGCGATAATACCGTGGATTACACATACTGAGCCCGGATAAACACAAGTGTTTTGGCTATAAGAATTAAAGTTTGAACTAAAGACAAATCTTCTATCTAAAGGAGAAATTAAATCGATTTCAGTGTGCTATTAAATGGGGAAAATCGGCGGAGTTTACGTCTCGTTTACGCGAAGCGTTCGTTAGCGCGGCTAAAGATCGTCGATTTCATTCTAAACATCTCTATCTCCACCGACGGTGTTCCGAACGGTGATACCGGCCATTCGATTCGCCGTCAACGAGGTCTTTGCAATTCAGATGTCCTCGCCCCGGCGGCCTCGTCGTCGTTCGGAGGAGCGGCTTGACAAATGCCCCCGTAAAAAAAGAGGTGGTGCACTCGCGATCGAGAGACGGACAAGACAATGGGATGTTTAGAGGTCCTCGTGCTCGCGATAAACGCCGGCAGGACGTAAACATCGGTGCTGGGGGGAGCCAATTTGCCTGCCGACAAGGATCGCTCGTCCCGAGGAAGCGCCGCGACACGTGCCGGATTAATCCTTCCACGTTTAAGATCGATCTATTAATATCAGCCCTGTGAATGAAATTAACGAACATTGTTATCTGAGTTGATTCGCAAACGAGCAAGCGAATTGTTTATGCGACGAAACTACGGAAACGTCGAAGGAGCAAACAATCCGCGAAACTTTCGAGAGGGCCATTTGCGCTCGTCTCGTTGTATCCCCGACGTGGCGTTGCTTTTTCTGCCAGTTAATTTTCAGGATACTTCTTAATTATAATGAGACACTTTGGGGCCTGGAAGAGAAGCCAACTGAGAACGGGGGACAGGAGGTGGATTTATGTAAATCGGCGGCTAATGTCTTCTGGCATTATTCCTCGGTTGGAAGAGAGGCGGAGTAGGAAGCCTGTTCCTTTCTATCCGATATATCGCCGAACGCGATCACCGAGCGTAACTTCTGTATCACGGTCATTATCGACGAGATATCTTATGCGCGCACTCTAAGTACCGCCGCCGTCACGTTTCTATATCCGGCCTTCGCGCTCTGAGATTATATGTCTCTTTAATCGAAATCAATTTCGTGGCAAAAACGTGAAAAACAGCGTTGTGTTGTAGCTGCGCCGTCGTAACACCATGTCGATAATTTTCAGTAATTATCGCACACACATTATAGAGATATTATCAAAACAAAACTTACGTCCTCATCTTTAATATATCGAACTTATATTATTAAAAAGTATGAAAGACAAACATAGGGCGGATTAAATTTGCGTAATAGCGCGTAACGTTGTAAACGACTTGAACTAATTTGCGAATCGTTTGGTGTCGTAAGAGTATTTCTACTCACCAGGAGTCGTTTGATAGTCGTCATCAGTCTTCTTTATGGTGATGGAATGGTCGACTTCGTAGAATTGCACGAGCTTCGACCATTCCTCTGCTGTTACTATACTGTATCTGTAACAATTAAATAATAATATCTCCTAGTTTATGATCCTCTGGCAAAGAGACAAACTCGCACAATAAAGTTTCTCCTATTGATATTTATGAAATATATATTCACAAAAAAGGATGTTCTCTCTCTCCTTCTTCCTCTCTGAGCGCGATTGGACGAGAGACGTATTTGCAAGATGGAATTTGCGATTTTCCGACAACGGTGTAGAATCCGTAATGCTTTTTGCATCGTCTCCCTTAATTATACCGCAAATTAGAAATTTCTTGCTGTGCCACGGCTCCAGCTTTTTGCCCTTGCAATTGTTCGCTCGATCCTGGCGTGGTTCCTGAGCCGCGTATCGCGAGGAAATCTCGCGTCAGTATGCAATCAATAATATTTCGCCAACTATTGCGCTATTAATATACGTAATTTCTAATCAATCTATCATCGCGGCGATATAGATTGACCGCGAATAATTATCCCAGCTGATCGTTACATACGTAACCAATTAATAACAACCGGATTGCACATATCAATGTGTAGACATGCGAAATGACTTATTCCCTTTTGGCATAAATTTAGTTTTCATAGTGCGCACACTTGTAAAAGTCATATTTGTAAAAAAAAAATGAACAGCGTAACATCGCGATGATCGATCAATCAACCTTGATTAAGACGGTAACGCGATCGACGATAATTGGCCACATCGCTTATCCCTCGATAGAACGACAGACGGTTATACAACGGCCGATTCGCGATACGAAAGAGGGAGAAAGGAAGAGAGAGACCCGGTACGATGATGACTCGACCGATAATTAGTTGCGCGACATTAATTTCGATTCAGCGCAATATGCCGCGCGGTCTCATTTGAATTTTCACGGGGCAAAAACGCACGGACGAGCTTGTCGTCTCTCCTGTGTATTTGCCTAACGCCCGAATAATGGTGGGTGCATCGAGGAGAGACGATGAAAGGAAGAGGAGGGGGATGAGAGACCGGCCCAGAAAAAATATATACTAGCGGGGCTACGCGATATTTGACGGATCTTTCACTATATTTTTGTATCGGCATCTTCGATCTAAATAACGATGTAAAGTGATCATATATTTTTTATACCATTTGCAAAATATTCGTGAATTAATTACTCGCAGATAAAGTGGGCATATCGACCTCCTAATTATCGTATTTTTAGACAAAGGCATAAAAAGTCGATAAGGGAAGAAACGCCGATATATCCTGGGGTGAAGATGGCAAAAATGATTTTTTAACGGTCTCGCCGAGAGGTCCGGAGTAAAAGCGGACGACTTAAGCCGCCGGCTATCTTAGGCAGATAGTGGACAATGCTTTAGCATAATGGTCGGGGGATGTTGGATGGCGCGTTAGCCCCGGGGCCGTGCGAGTGACATTTTCGCGTATCCATCACATCACGAGGGGGCAAGGGCACGAAGAGAAAGGCGTGCCAGGAGGTCACGCACTTTCGCTTTATAATATAGTGTCCTTCGAGAAATTCCTGCCAAGGAAAAATCCCCTTCCGAAATCACGAGTATCTACCTCCGTGCGTATATCCCTCCAACTTTATTCTCGCAGATTTTCTCTCACTTTACGAGAACCGCACGTGCAGCTATATTCATTTTCTCCGAAATATATAATGCATACTTACAATTCGTTGTTGATCCTGGGCGCGTAAAGGAATCCTTTATGCTCGCACAGGAGAGACGCGTTCTGGATGCCTGGCGGCGGTGTTCTCGAGTGTGTCTCCGCGTATCTACAACCGAGAGATGTTAAATACTTAACGAGAGCTAACAATCCATACATGTATATAAAATTTGTTTCGAATTCTCGTTGAAGAAATTCCAGCAAACGAGTTAAGTGTTCTCGATAATGTGAGCTCGCCCGTGACACGATCTTACGGATCACGACGGTGAACGTTTCCTTCGGGACTTTCCGGAGGCGATGTTTAGGGGACGGGGTTGTGCATCATTTTTCACATACCACGAGGGGGCGGATGGTTTTTGCCATCCCCCTAGCCGACGACCATCCAGATAATGCTCTTAAAGACAGATATCTCTCGCGAAACGAGCCAGGTACGCTGTCATGCGATTGTACCACGGGAATAGACGGAAATCTCTTCGAATTTGCGCGCTCTGGTGCGTCGGAAAAATGTACAATTTTCAATTGAAAATTCGCTTTCCTCAATCTTTCACTGCATAATATTATTATTTTAACGATAATGATCGTTAAAATCAAATCAATGACAAGGTGATATCGCAAAAAAAATGTTGTTTCCAAATGTTAAGGTTAATTGAAATTTTCCGCAAAAACGGGAAAACGATATTCGACAATCCGAAAAACGCAATACCGGACGAAGGATATCGGAGATATACCGCGAGTTCTCTCGCGAGCTTTGATGCGGAAAGTCGACTATCCGATGCCGTAGTTTAAAAATGTCCCTTCCGCGCGCATCCCCCCTGTTCACTCCGGGCGCGTTTTCCAGAAGCGAATGCGCGTATTAATTATGAGCCTTGTTCAAACAAGAGAACAGAGGAACGCCGCGCGAACGGAGTCGCGGAGGGGGAGGTGGTCACCCTTATTACGGTCGAAGCCGGTACGACCCCGGTTTCTATGTCCCTTCCGTTTCTCTCTTTTTCCCGCGCCGGACCCTCCTTTTTTATTTCTGGTTCGAGGCTTTGTTTAACTTCTGTCGCGAAATTTTTCCGTCCCGCAACGATTATTGCTCCCCGGAGATCGCGGAGATGGAGGAGGAAAACAGGATTCGGTTTGCGCGGCCTTCCTGACACACGTAGGGATGCACCAACACGAAAGCGTGAAAAGCCGTCTACATCTTCGACGGGAAATTAAATGACAGTTCTTCAGCTTCCTGTTGATAAAGTGCACCGCGATCGCTCGCAAGTATTTATATTTCTTCTTCACAAGATTGTTCCTCTTTTTAAGATAAAAATACTAATCGTAAAATCGGGAAATAAAAGAAATTTATGGCTTCGATGAGCGAACGGAAATACTCACGAGAGGTAGCGTGGTATATTCATGTTTGCGGAGAAATAAGAAATCTAGGAACAAGAACGTGCGAATTCGGCGAGCGGAGGAATGTCGGTTATACTCGCGCGAACAGTTACTCGTAACATACAGTCATGGTGAATTGTACTCGGTGGCGAAAGAATTAACGAAGGCGTTGGTACAGCGTCCGAACGGAGCGTACGGCAAAGAAAAACGATCGAGCCGAGTCATTGTGGTCGGCGACTTATTGTTCGATACCGGTGCATAATATCCTGTTCTATGCACGAACGAACCTAGTGACAGCATCATTGTGGATGGCCTTAATCAACCAAGACGGCCGCGCGTCGTGCGATAGTGGGCCGGCCGGTCTTTGTGAAGAAAATTACACGGATACAATCCGATAATAATAATATAGTTACAAAAAGGGGAAATGATACGACAGATCGATTTTATATTGATCGTTGATATAATGGAATGTTCTTTCCAGTAGCATGCGATAGATGTATGTCACGAAAAAGTTGCACAATTTCTTTTTATAAATTTCAGAACGCATCCAATTTCTTTCTCGAAAAATTCTCAAGAGAGACATATTCCTTTTTCTCTTAAACATATTTTTAACGATACATTGGACACGTTGCAAAACTCGCCGAAATCAAGTGTTGCAACTTTCTTCTTCTTGTGATACACCGAGAAACTCATTTCGTTGACTCAAACAAAATGCTTGTTGTGTTTGTCACGGTACTCAGTAGCCTTACTTTGCCTTGATGCGACTTCCCGCGTGTATAGGCCGAGAAAAATTCGTTTCGATAATTCATCTCTCTCTTTCCCTATCATTCTCCTCGTCGCGTTCGATGAAGGAACCGCCTTTATCCGCTCCTTCTCTCGCATTCCTCTCCAGCAGAAATAAATCTTATGTTTTCGCGTATAAGCGGCCTTTTAATATCACCACCCTTGATTTACCGCCGCAGACCGTGCATCTACACGTAAGAGAGAGAGGGAGAGAGAAGCCCCGCATGTTCCGCTGACATTTGTCTTCCGGCAACCCCGACGTGTCCCTAGGTTTTCCCTGATTTAGCGCTCCACCCGTCGGTATTTGACTAGATGATTCTCGATCTCTCGAGAGATTACTGCTCTTGTCAACGAATTATTGGCCGCGTGTGGCAGAGACAACGAGCCGGCCTAATGGATCGAGACAAATGCTCAGGAATTTCCGGTCAAACCAACCAACGCAAGATCAATCATCCCTATTCGGTATACACTGAAAATGGCAAAAAATTATGTAAAAAGATATTATTATAATTCTTTAAAGCGCGATTTCACATTCCTCAAGACTGCGTGCCGATATATCCTGCCATTGACATATATACTTCATCTAACTGCAACATCGAGAATGAAGCGGGAGACGCATCCTACGCGTCCGCTGCACCGGTTATGCAGCTCCGGACGGACGCCGAGTGCATTGGAGCGTTGCGGTCATTACAAGAGGGGCCCCTACGTGTCCGTGGTAAAAGGTCCTCGGTGTGTCCGGGTATTGAAAAAGGAATCCCAAAAGCCAGTCGTCAGATAGATGGCGAAAGGGAGAGAGGGGGGACGAGCGCAGGAAGACGGTGGGAAGGGTAGACGACGGGAAGGACGGAACAAGAGAAAAACAATGTTGCTGCCGGTTACCGCGGGACACTCGGAAAATAAGAAAACGACGCGTATGTCCGCGTTGATCACGAGAAACGCGATGGGACGAACTGCGATGCCGCTACTTTCCGGCGCACCCGCGCACCAAGTGTGAGAGCGAATACTTTCGGCGGAAGACACAAAAGCGACGGAGGCACGCGTTTTTCTCTCTCAGAAGCTTCTCATATAAGGAGAGATCTTTTGGGATTTTCTATCTGTAAAAAAACGTTAAAATTTCCGACAGGACAATGCGGGAAATCTATGTTAAACCTTTGATTCTGCAACACGGTAAGATAGGTTCAATTTTCATTCCAATGATATAATTATATTCCTAATTTGATGTCTTCAATTTCCGTCGCTTTAGCGTCAGGTTGCTGAAAGTAGCTTTGAAATTCAATCTATAGAATTGAAAGTTTAAGAGAGAAGTTAAAAAATGTCAGAATCGTCAAAGTAGGTTTTCATCAGTCTATAAATTGTCGAAATTTTAGTTCTACATTAAGTTTTCAAAGATTTTCTATTCTACTCTTCTGATATTACAAATGAGACGTTATTTCTATTTTCTCCACCCGAAGACTTAGTGTAGAATTAAAAATTCCCCCCCGGGAGATCTAAATTTCCTTCGTAGCATCACTAAATCACTATTAGTGTTCTTTTGACGCTATAAATGAGAAATTATTTTCTCCACTTGAAATTTAATGTAGGAGCAAATTTCGACTCATTCTAAGTAGGCGCAAACTATCCTTAAGTGCGTTAAAGTAACATTAAAATTTCGACACGTGTCATCCCAAATGCCCCTCTTCCTCGTGTGGTCATACACGATCGCAATCGATAGAACGATAACTGCAGTTAATCGACGATAACATATCACCACGCGGTTCCGTTTTCTAAAGCACGTATGACAAAAACGCCGCTGCGAGGTTATTACAAAAGCTAGCATGACTTCGACGTATGTATCGTGGATCGTAGTGATTTAATGCATTCCGACCAAGTTCGTGACGAGTTCGCGTCACGAAGAACCGTCTTTTCCACCCGAGGCATTTACAAACTTCTCTCGTAACGAGGCTTCCTTTACAGCTAACGGGAAGTAATAATCGCGCGTATTGTAGTCAACCTGCATTCCACGAGTTATCGGCGAAAGAAGAAGAACGAGATTTTTCACAATAATAATAATAATAACGGACGATATAGAATTGTACATGGAACATGGAATTGTTAATGAACTTTGTGTCCGAAGCAGCAGCATTAGTGCTGATATCGATGCATTACCAGAATATGATAAGTAAATTACAATAAATTAAGTGTGTGTGTGTGTGTGTGTGTGTGTGTATGTGTGTGTGTGTGTGTGTGTGTGTGTGTGTGTGTGTGTGTGTGTGTGTGTGTGTGCATAGCGAGATAAACCGAGTCGAAATTTCAGTTCTACATTGAGTCTATTTAGTTTATTAAGTCTTGTATTGCGCTCCATTTGATGTTATAAATAGGAAGATGTTTCTGTTTTCTCTGTTTAGTATAGAATTTAAAATCTCCCCTGGCAAGTCTAAATTCCTTTCAAAGGAACATTCTTTGATGCTACAAATGAGATGTTATTTCTTCACTTGAAAACTTAATGCAAAACTAAGTAGACTTAATGTAGAAACCAACGACTCGGGAATACATTAGTTAACGTTCGACGCAACGTATTCCGATATGATAGAATGGAAAGCTGCGAATGACCTGCGAAGAGACGGAACGAACCTCATTAAACAACATGATTTGATTGCTTGATATGAAAATACAGCTCGAAATCTTTCTGTACGGTGTTGGGAAAAGCCAATAGATTCTGATGACGTGTCTCGCATAAATCGTCGCCATGAAAGTCGGAGTTTCGACTTGGAAAGACACCGTAGAAGTACCTAGATGATCTATTTTGAAGAATGAGTCGCGTAAGACAACAGAGATGTAGCGCAAAGCACTGACATATTTTTCACCTCGATCGTTGGTAAGCGATTGAAGTTATATGATCGTGCTTTCTGACGCAAATCTGAGAGACTGCTTGTAAGGAATGCATAATCGAAAGGATGAGAGACTGAATGATTAAAAGCTTTT